TTAAGTTCATTAAGGTTGAATAATAACAACAGTAACTACATTTTAAAGGAGTTGTCAGTTGTCAGGAGCGTGGCCCGTGCCCTTCCAGTACAGTGGATACTTCCTATAAAAGTTTTTTGTGCTGGCGATGCATTTGCTGTCACTTATCATTTGATTTTTTTTTATTGTATTTTAATTTAACTTGAACATACTTAGTTATCTCTTCATTTTATTTATTTATGTTTTATCCCAAGAAATGAATTAGCAAATAACTGGCTTACATAACAATATTTGCGAGTTTTTAAACTCATGCTTTTTGCTACCTTCATTTAATTTTGTTTCTTTTGAGTTTAAATAATTAATATGAGCAATTAAAAGCGCTGTGTTGCAAGTTTTTCATTTAGTTTTTCATTAAACTTTTTTCCATTTATATGTATGTATGTAATATTTTGCATTTTTTTGAATGGCATTTTAATAATTTTTCTGTCTTAATTGATTTCAATTGTTTTTTGGGCAATCTATTATTCTCCTGCTATAAATAACTCCATATTTAAGTTGTATGGAGTTAAGTTATGCACAAATTTGGAAATGTCGTGTCCAAAAAGGGCATATCAGGGCATAATTTCGCTCAACTTTTGGGCAGGTTCTCCATCAGCAGACTTCACTGTGGCCACGTTCGTGCCGTGACGTTCAGGTGTCTTGGCTTTCTGCCCGCTGTGCGCTCGCCTTGACTTCACTCATGTTGTTAACTGCTCTTATTACAACTTATTCTACTTATGCGCTCCTTGTTTGTCAACAACAACGGCAGCAACAAATATAGGGATAAAAAAAGGGACACAACCTGTAACCGAGTCCTTGTGGCCCCGTGCCGAGTTAAAGGTGCATTTACAACGGGGCGAAACTCTTTATTTTTAACTTCTGGCCACAAACGGGCATATATATATATATTTTTGCCAAGTACTTTTTTTGGTTATGCGGTGGAGCTAATCCCAGTCTGCTCCTTTCCTGTTTGTCTGCCGCGGGCCCAGCATCCAAAACATCTTCCGAGTGGGAGCAACATGGCCCGGCGATTCCTCGACATGTGTGCTGGCGAAAAAAAAGCGAGATGAAAATAATCAAGTTTCCGACAAACATCAACATGACGCCAAGATAAAAAGCTTCCAGGATGCGCTGGCATCGCTCAGCCACTGCAGGACAAGATAAGAAACATCATCTGTAGCGGCAGCGGGAGCTGCACTGGGAGAAATTATCCAGGATTTCGGAAATATATTTATTTTAATTCAAAAACATATTTTTAATCATTTAATTTGTATCAAAAATAAGATAAATAGTTGTTAATGAGTATATAACATAAAATAATTTTCTTAATATGAAGTTTTAACAACATTATTTTGTTTTCATATTCGTAAACTAAACTTAACATAAATATATTTTTAAAAGTAGATATAGAGTGAGTCGGTTTTGAAAACAATTTAGATTTTTAAAAATTCTAATAACAAATTTTATTTTTAAATTTTAAAATTTATTTAAGTTTCCCATAGGGATAATAATAATACTTAGGGCTTAAGAAAAGGGCTTAAGAAAAAAATTCTGTTGCCATCATTTTTCCCGAGTGCAACTGCAGGACTACAAGTTGGTCCATTTCCAGGACTTGGCTTGAAATTGGCTGACTGCTGCCGTTGCAGGGGGTGGTGGTGGGTAGTGGGGTGATTGGCGGGGTGGGTGCTTCTGTGGGTGGTGTTTTCCCGGCTGTGGGTTCAAGTGTCAGCCCTTGCCATCTTCTTTGGGCCTTGTGGCAGCCTCAAGTTGTGTTCGTGTTTGCTTTGAAAAGTATATTGGATTGCCCTAGCCACAAATACCCATATGTCTGCGTATGTCTGCTCATCTATCCATCTATATCTAATATATATGTATCTGATATATCAGCCGGCTAACCAAAGGCCGTCTGCTACTGACGTTGAAATTTACCCACTTCTTTCGGATTTTTCTGCTTTTTTTTTTTTACTTTGTTTTTAATTTCGTGTCTATACAAATATTTTCAATCGTTTGCGGTGCAAAATTATTTTATGCTTTTTGTTAAGTTCCCAAACAAAGCCACTTTAAATGTTAAACAAAAGTATTGCAGAATTCATATGAGGCATGTAGAAAAAAGGTTAGTTTCCCACACATGTCGAACCCATGGAAGGGGTGGAATGGGGTAAAGAAGGGGCTGAAGAAGGGTTGAAGAGGGGGTGGGGGTTTGGGGGTTCGAAGGGGCCGAAGAGAGTGCGGCGCTGTTTGAATTTCTGCTGAAGTTAACATTTTTATAATTCCATTAAGCGGACAGTCCTGTCTCTGTCTCTCTCTCTCTTTCCCCCCCTCTATTCGCCTCTCTTTCACATGTGTAACATGAGGATTTTCCCACACACACAAACACACACAATGGCAAAACGGCCGTACAAAGTTGGTCCGAAAAGTTTTTGCATTCATAAATCATTTCCCTCTTTTTTCCAGCCTCACCTTCATTCCATGTTTAAAGGTGGAAAATACTTTTCGCTGAATTTGTAGAATTTCTCAGGGGCGGGTGTGCTCATGTTTCATATGCCATAAAGGGGTTTGAAGGGGCTTGAGGGGAAGGGGAGGGTGTGGACTTCGGCAAGATGTGGGCAACGTTAAGTTGCAACTTGTTGCCTGCTTGGTTACACGATGCCAATCCTCCCACTCGTCCTGGCATATCCTTGTCATTTTTAATTTATGCGCAGACCAAGCTTGAACTTTCGCAAAACTTAAGAAGAAAACTGTGGGTTGTGGTACGAAAAAGGGGTGGATCGGTATGGAGTTTTATCATTCGGTTGGGTCTTGCTTTTTGCCCTTGGCCAGTAATTTAATTGGGTCCATGATCGGGATTTTTAGTCCTAATGATATTATTATTTAAGGGATTGAAAGCTAGGTAGATACTTGATAAAAGAAAATCCAAAAACAAGAAAATATTTATTTTATGCTATTAAAAACAAAGCAATAACCAATAATTAGCCGTAGTAAACCCAACTAATTTAGTATTTTAAAATAGACTTCAATCAAAATGTTATCATGGTCACATTTTTAAAGAATTTTTTGAGTTGTTCGTCTACATTTTAGGGGTTTTCAAAAATTGTTCTGCAAAAATGAGCCACGAAAATGGGAAATAACTGCTAACAAGCGTCATAATTACAGTTCACAAAGCATGCTCACATACGTATGCAGTTTTCCGCTGCCTCTTTACCACCATCTCTACCCATTTTCCATTTTCCACCCACTTCAGGACTCCTTTCCGGTGACTTTTGCATACTTTTCGGAAAACTTTTAATTTTCGAACTTTTGTCGCATGCCGGGCATATGTTGCACGCTCTTTGCTCTTTGCACTCCGCTCCTTACTCTTTCCTTTGCTTTCCCCACTTTCTTCGCCCACTTTCCACACTTTCTCCTCGATTGGCCCAATCTGATGACGTCTTATTAGGCAAATGAAAAGCTGCAAAGTTTTTCGTCGAGAGTCACTCGAGCCATGTTACTTTCCAGAAGGACTCTGCTCTCCGGTATTTTCTTAAATATCGTTTTGAATCCCATATCCTTTGCCCCTTTTCCGGTTTCCCTTTTTCCGATTCTTTATCGCTTTGTTTATGAAAGTCGCCCACTAATTGCAAACAAAGGTTGTGGGCAGGGGCGTGGCAGGGGGCGGGGAGAGGGGGCAGGCGGAGATAAGCGAGCGGGAAATGCATGTGTAAAAGTTGCCTGGATCTCAAAGGCACTGGAAAAAATATATTATCCACAGAAGAAAACATTAACTACTTGAAATCTTTGTGTAATTATACATTTAGTGGTGAAAAAATGTGTTAAAAGCAAAAACTTAAAAAACAATAAATTAAGATAAGATAAGAGTCATATTTTGTTATGTTAAAAATTATACTATTAAAATAATTATAAAAATTATATTCTTATAAATTATAGTTTATGTATTATGCCTTTAACTTTTGGGAGAAATTGACATATATAAATTTCTAAGGATATATTAAAATTAATTTAATATATATAAGAAATATCGTTTGAGTTTTTAAAACCAAATTATTTCCCTAAACAAACTTAAACTTATGCAACGAAAACAGCAGTGAAATATATATAAAAGAGTGAAACACTCTTATTTTCTCCCACTGTACAGTGTGCATTCATGCATGCAGCTGCTGCGGCAGCGTTGGGGGCGTGGCAGCGGCGTTGAGTGGGCGTTTCGGACATATCGCTTCGTTTTTACCCGGGCAACAGTACCGCATTTGCATTTATATGCACATCCTTTGTGCCCAAAGGATATTACATTTTTCCACTTCAAGCATTTTTGTGAATTTAATGAAATTTTTAATTTTTATGCGCGCCAGATGGGCGTGAAGTGGGCAGAAATGGGTAGAAGGGGGCGTGGCAGCGCCTCCTTTCGCTTGGACTAACAAGCCGCAGAGATATGTATGCTGGCTGCATTTGCCTTGCATTCTCCAGCGGGGTAACTTTCCACAAAGATAAATAAAAACTGGTAGCCTCGGCAGGGGAATACCCCATCTTATCCCTTGCTCGTACACAAACCCACAGATGTGGCAAAAAAAAATTTGAATTGGCTTTTTGCGTTTTACACAGCTCTCGGGATTGCGGGCACTCTTGTGATGATTGCTGCTTGATTGCCAGAACTCACTTCATTTTTTTTTACCGGCTTAAGAGTATAAGTGCAAGGATCTGATGGGATTGTTATTTCCTATTAGCTCTATTTTATCTGTAAATAAATTAATGAAAACTATAATCGATAAATTACAATTTGATTGAAAAAATGCATCAACTCTCCATTAGTCAATGTGGTAATTTCATCAAGCTAATTAGATGCACTGACAGGACGGGATTAGATCGGGGTCAGAATGGCTAATTCGGCATTAATGAAAGGCTGCTTATCGGCGATTGGTTTGAACTGAAAGTTTACCATTAGGGAAATTGGCCAGCGCATTTGTTGGCCAACTTGCAAGTGCTCCGGGCCAATGTTGCAGTATCTGTGGATTCTGATGGCACTTCGATCGCCGGCGATGGGTGCAGTGCATCCGCCGGAACCGGAGGTCATCGCACCCCTGGTGGCAGCTGCCCTGGAAATTCTGGATGAGCAGGTCAGACCCTCGCAGATCACCTTGGCCGTGGTGGAATTGACGGCAGGTGGCCGGCACAGGGATCACCGGCAGGAGGAGCTAATGACCGCGATCCTCAAGGCGGTGGACATCGAGCTGGCATTGCGGACATTTCAGCAGCCACCCGCCGAAGTTCCCGCCAGTCATGTGGTCTTTCTGGTCAATTCCGCCCAGGCCTTCAACACGCTGAGCTTCAACTTTACGGACATGCACTCGACGCGGGAATATAACTTCTTGATCCTGCTCACCAGGCGCATGTCCTCGCGAGCCGAGCGCATCCAGGTGCTGACGGAGATATCCAGGACCTGTGTGCGCTTCCACACCGTCAATGTCCTGCTGCTCACCCAGAAGCGAAACGGTCAGGTCCTGATCTACACCTATTGCCTGTACAACAGGAACTGCGACCTGAACGTGACCCTGGAGCTGATCGATCGCTACCAGAACGGCTCCTTTCGGCACGGTCGGCAGGCCAGGTCCTTCGACCGGGCTCTGAGCAGCCTGTCCGGATGCTCGGTGCGGGTCAGCTGGTATCCCCTGGCGCCGTACGTCTCCTTTGAGGGCAACTCCAGTGATCCGGCGGAGCGGGCGGAGATCTGGCGACTGACTGGGATCGATGGGGAGCTGATCAAGTTGCTGGCCCAGATCTTTCGCTTTCGCATTCAGCTCGAGGAGCCGTGCGACAAGTGCCTCTCGCCGGACATCAAGGACGGATGCAGTGGCTGCTTCGACCAGGTGATGTACAGCAACTCCTCCATCCTGATCGGTGCCATGAGCGGATCGCACCAGCACCGGTCGCAGTTCTCCTTCACCTGCTCGTACCACCAGAGTTCGCTGGTCTTCATCACGCACATGCGGGAGCAGTTCGGAGCGGTGGCCCAGTTGGCGGTGCCATTTTGTGGCACCGTTTGGCTGGCATTGGTGCTCTCGGGGGTTCTGGTGGTGCTGGTGGTGGGTGCTCGGAAGAGGATCGTGTGCGGGGAGTCCGATATGGCGCGGCATGGCCTCCAGGTGCTCACCACCCTGATGGGCAATCCCCTGGAGGCGAGGAGCCTGCCCGGCAGTTGCCGTACTCGCATCCTCTACGTCACTTGGCTGCTTTTGGTTCTGGTCCTGCGAGTCGTTTACCAGGGCAAGTTATTCGACTCCTTCCGATTGCCCTATACTAAACCCCAGCCGGCCGGAATATCGGAGTTGATCAGGGACAACTACACGCTGATTTCCCAGGAGTATGTGGAGTATTATCCCCGGAGATTGACCGTGCTGACCAGGAATGGATCCACCGATCGGTTCGACTACATGCAGGGTTTGGGTGAGGAGGCGCGGATTACGACCACCTCGCTGATTGCCGCGATGAGCTACTACAATCAGAGGCACTGGAGCACCAGCCAATTGACCCACATAAGGGAGCACATCTACAACTACCAATTGGTCATCTACTTGCGGCGCCACTCGCTCCTCAAATTCTCCTTCGATCGCAAGATCAAGCAGCTCTTTTCGGCCGGTATAATTGGGTATTTTGTTCGTGAGTTCGATAGCAGCCAGTACAGTGACCCCTATGAGGAGGACTACAAGGTCTCACCCATTCCCTTGGAGGCCTTCTGCGGTCTATACTACATTTCCTCGATTTTGCTATCTGCTGCGGTAGCTGCCTTTTTCCTGGAGCTGCTCAGCCAGAGGATCAACTGGTTGAGGAGGCTCTTTGAGTAGTGGATTCCGATCGAAACGGGTGAAGGCGCTTAAATGTATCTACTATAATATAAATACAATGTTTTTTTTTGCAAATTTAGCGTTTAAAATAAATGTTTTCATGTTTCATTATACTAAATAACTAGTTTCCCAATAATAATTAATAATTTCGCACTAATTTAGAGGACATCCATTGTGGCACCAGGAATTAAGAAATAAATAAAGCAAATTAAAAACCAAAAAGAAAAGGAACTCAATTTTGACAACGAAGTATTTCTATCGGATATGTTTGACCATTCACTTTAGTTGAAAACGCAATTTAACTATATAATTAAACTTTTGTTTTAAAACCACTTCCAAATGTGTCTAAAAGTAGTCTAAAACAAGAAGTAGTCTAATAAGTAGTCTAGTAAGCTGTCGGCGCACTTAATTAATTCGTTAACAACAACCCCAAATTAAATAAGATTTAACAATTTATTAACTCTACGAAGCTGCACAACAGGACATTTTTTCCTGGCCCATGAGTGTTTGTTATTCCACTTTCACAAATAGGAATTTAAATAGTCAAATTTCTTGTTTATTTAAATAAAAACGCAGTGCCTTAAGTAAAAATGCAAAAATGTAGGTTTATTTAAAACTTAATAATAATCATGATTTTAAATTTATTTATTTACAAACTTAAAGGTGTTTACATAAAGTATTTAAATAAAACTGTTATAGCTATTATAAAGAAATAATTAATTATCATTTTATCATGATAAAGTGTTGTGTCGTTGTTTTTCTTTGGTTAAAAGATCAAGTCTTATCAAAATTTTTTATGGTGAACTGAGACTAAATGGCCACTGCTGATAATGTGCATGAATTGACCGTGACTTGTTTAATAACCCCGAAGGCCATCAATATATTTATTTTATTATTGGTCTACATTAAAATAAAAATTTAATTATAATCTAAAAGTAGACATACGTGTTCTAAGCTTTAAGCCCATTTAAGCTTACAATTAATACTAGAAAAAGGGACTAAAGTAGTAAAATTAGATACCCAACTTTTGCTACATGTCTTCAAGTGCATAAAATACCGTTTCAAGACTTCAAAGAAGAGGTATGAGGTATCCACATCACACGATGGTGATTATCTTCTGAGAAACAAACATTTTTATAATTTTATTGTATCGGAGAAAGCTCTAATACAAATGATTATCTGGGGGCAGCATGAGCATATTTAAACGCCGCCGTCGTATGTCCGAAATCAGTAGCAAATCGACTCTGAAATAATCAACACGCAATCACAGTTCAAATCGAAAATGAAAATAGTGTGGATACTGGCGGTATTAATTTACCTTTTAATGAAATTCGATCCTGCAGCTATGCATCTATATCATGTGCACACTGATTGCCGAGAAGAATTTGATATGATAGATTGTTTAGTTAAAAAAATGCACCATATGATTCCTTTCCATAAACAAGGGTAAATAAATAAGCTGCTGGAAAATAGCTCAGTAATTCTGTATTTTATATTTCAGAGGGAGATTCCGTTGAACATTAACATCCTGTGCAATTCAACATTACCCTTGGTTGTAATGTAAAAAAAAATTGTACAACCTTATTGTAAACTTTACGAATCTGCAAATAAAATCGCTGACCTTTGATTTTATTCAACATTTCCAGTTCATTATTAATCAAGTTCGTACACAATTTTGGTGTGGTTTTATGGCCCAGTTCCGGCGACCCATTCAACGAAGCTTGTATTTTTCTTTAAGACCCAGGGAAAGCCCGTCTCTATCCCGGAGTTACAATTAAAGTTCCATTAACTCTTCGCGACACACACAATTATCAAAAATTATATTTATGCTTATGACATTTCCGGCAGCCAAACTTCGACTGAAATTATATTACCCTCTGCAAGGGTATAAAAAGAAAAGGAACTTAATTTTGACAACGCGGTATTTCTATCGGACATGTTTGACCTTTCTCTTAAAACGAAATTAAACTATATAATTAAGCTTTTATTTTAAAACCACTTCTAAAGGTGTCTAAAAGTTGTCTACAAAAAGATTGTGTGTCAAAGCGAATTGTTTAGTAATTTTAGACACCTTTATGAGTGATTTTGAAACCCTCCTGTTTCTAAGGTATCCCCGATAAATTTATTGATATTTAGGAAGTGTCCGTTTCGTATTTACCTGTTCTGTGTAGTCTAAAATTTCCATGTCCAATCTATGTCCGCGAATCGCCATATGGATAGCAAGTTGTGACACTGCCGCTGGCATTTTGGGTTGTGCCATCAGAAGACAATGGAACGTCCTCGTTAGTCGGCACATACAGAGCAGCAATAACAACATGGCAACAAAATCAGAAGTAGTATGTGGGAGGTAAAAAAAAAAAGGACAAAAACACGACACGTCCGACATAGAACGAACTCATTAGCCTACATGCCGCATTTTCCGCCTACACATGTGGCAGAATATTAGGGGGAGGATATACACTTGCGGTCCAAATACTAGCTCTAAAATGGCTTCAATAAATGCATCGATAATAATTAATAAAACTCAATTGAATGCAATAACAGCATTGAATTATTAAGAACAATTAAAAGTGAGAATTCACAAACTTTAATTTATTAACGAAAATAACTTTAACTATAATTTACAAGACTATCAATAAGTACCGATGAGATTAACAATAATTTTTCCATAAATAAATTAAGAGGTAAATTTTCTGATTATTTATTGACAAGCCCAGTCATTAATTTAAGATACAAATAGCAAAACGCAGGGAAGGATGTGAGAAAGTTACAACAACTCATTAATTTAAAGGTCTATAAAGGTCAAAGGTCAAATAAAAAAGATCGATATAAAGAACAACTAAATATCTAGCAATCATTTAAAGATATTACTAACTATAATAATAAAAAAATAATTTAAATCTTAGTTCTATAATTTTGCCTGACAATCTGTACATTATAATTTGGTTGTTAAGCTAACTTAAATCTTAGTCCTATAATTTTGGCCGGCAATCTTTATATGAAGGACGGTGTAAAAGGGGGAGGGAAAAGGGGTGGTGTGGGTGGGGGGCTGAAGGGCACTGGGGTCCCCAAGTGGAACACAAATGCGCTCTGGCTTGTTGCAGCCGTGTGCTTTCCTTGTTGTTACATATTTTGTTTGCTTAAATGCCGGAAGTGTTGCAGGCCACATCAGAAGTGGGCATGGCCGCCGCCCACCTTAACCCCTTTAGACCCTAAAAGTGCCTGCAAGCAACAAATGTTGTCAGCATGTAGCATTCAATGCTTGACATATAAGGTCATAAGCCACTATCAGCATACTCTAACCCATTTTTGGCAATAATACGTATTAAAGATTAAGGAACTAAAAAGCAATGCAAAGAAATATTTTAATTATTAAGTTACTCTTATTTTTATTCATTGTAAGTTATTTTAATAATAAAATATAGAAATATCTGTGAAATCAAGTACTTACTTACCTTAAAATTTATTAAAAAAATGTTCATTGTTGTAATTGGACTAGTCTACCAATTATTTTAATTCAAAATACAAAGTGCAAATGTAGACAAACATTTTTAAATACCAGATAACTCTGAAGTACATTTAGGGAAATATTTCCTCTGATGTAATATAGAACTACATTTTCTTCTGCCGTTGGTTAAAGGACATCCCACATTCGTTAAGCCACCAACTGGAAAGGTCCTTTCCTGTTTTGTTGTTCAACATTTACCGGTTACCAGTTATCACAGTCTGTTGTTGCCACTGCAATACTTACTCTTAATTATGCCTTTTAGGGTCTAGCAGACTAGTAGCTGTCATTCATTCTGCAGTTCGACACACAAAAGTTTGCGTTTGATGATATTTGCATATGCCTCGTCGTATTAATTGCATTTAATTGCCAGTTAAAAGGGCCGCAGGTGGGGTAACATCATTTGCCCTTGCAGGGAGACACTTGCACAGCCAATGGGCGGCCACTTCACACCCAGTGGCACACCCGGTGGGACCCTGTGTGATAAGAGCTGATAACAAAGGTAAACAAAGCCGCGACAGATGGATGAACTGATGCCCTCCATCGGCGACTTTGGCGGGAAACGCTGTAATTCGTCAGATATTCGGCGGCCCAAGGCGCATGCGTCCAAAAAATCCGACATTCGACTGTCGGAGAAGTCTCGTTTTTCGTTCCCACAACTTTCAGTATAAGAGCGAGAAACCAGTATCCAAAGTGTGACACAGAAATATCGGGAAATTTATGCGAGATAACGACTCGGATGCGAAGGTTTGGCCCGTCGCTGAAGATCAGGATCAGCATAACATTATTATATAATGAGCAGCCAAAAATTAATTTCAGCACAAGGTCTTGCAGAGTCTAATTAAATTCTGAAGAGTACACTTCAAGCCGTTTCCCTGAGATTTGGAATTGAAAACAAAATTAATGCATCATAAATAGGTTTTATATCAAAAATGTAATAAATAAAACTTACAAAAATAGGGCGGTATATTAAATTTGATTGTTTAATGCATTATCGATTGAAATTAATAATAATTGGTTTTTCGAGAGAAACCATCTATTAAATAAATTATAAGTATTAGATCACAAATTATTCTAATGCAAATATTCTAATGCAGAAAATAGGTGAATAAAATACTTAAAATAATAGTATATTAAATATTAATATGAAACTTTCACATAAAAGAACATTTAAGGAAAAAATACAGTTCAAATGTATAGTTGTAAATATTAAATAATATAAAGTATAGTCATATATTTTTATACCCTTGCAGAGGGTATTATAATTTTGGTCAAAAGTGTGCAACGCAGTGAAGGAGACATCTCCGACCCTATAAAGTATATATATTCTTGATCAGGATCACCTCCTGAGTTGATATAGCCATGTCCGTCTGTCCGTCTGTCCGTCTGTCCGTCTGTCCGTCTGTCTGTCCGTCTGTCTGTTTCTACGCGAACTAGTCTCTCAGTTTTAAAGATATCGAATTGAAACTTTGCACACACCCTTCTTTCCTTTGCACGCAGTATATAAGTCGGAACGGCCGGGATCGGCCGACTATATCCTATAGCTGCCATATAACTGATTGATCGGAAATGCCATAACTCTGCTGTTTGTTAAGTTAGGAAGTTGGGACTCTCTATGGGTATTATATTTGGCCAATCAATCCGACGTACCAAATTTCATAAGGATCGGCCGACTATATCCTATAGCTGCTATATAACTGATTGATCGGAAATGCCATAACTTTGGTGTTTGTTAAGTTAGGAAGTTGGGATTTTCTATGGGTTATATATTTGACCAATTAATCCGACCTACCAAATTTCATAAGGATCGGACGACTATATCCTATAGCTGCCATATAACTGATTGATCGGAAATGCCATAACTTTGGTGTTTGTAAAGTTAGGAAGTTGGGATTTTTATGAGTATTAAGAATGCATCATATGAATCATTTTGAAGAATATAATGTACATAATATTCTGCAAGGGTATATCAACTTCGGCTCCGCCCGAAGTTAGCTTTCCTTTCTTGTTTTTGAATATTTTTCATAGTGCACTCTAGTTGGCCTTGCTGATTTGGCCATAAAAGCGAACTGCATTTCGAGTTCTAGAACAGTTGAAGCCATCGAACGGAACTACCAAGATGCTGCACCAATCTTTTATCCTGATTTTGATCCTGCTGATTGCAGTCTGTTGTTTCTCGGCGGAATTGCCTGGAAATGCCTACTTGCCACCGCTAAGGAAGAATCATCCAGTTCCAGATGAAACCCTACTGGTGGAAAATGGATTTCTCTTTGATATTGACCAGGATTCATTTGTGAGATATGCCCCCATCTTTGTGGACTATCCGGGAATTCATCCACTTCTACGGCAGCAACAGGAATACGCTTTAGATCTGCCCTTCTAAGGAAAAGCCCTTTGAGCGAAAAACTAAGTTGGAAATCGACTTTATTGCTAAAAGATATTGGTGTATGTAAAGTAAAAAAATAATGAACAATAAATAAATGCAACAACAAAAAAAGTATAATTATTTTCGAAATATATGTATAATCTTTCTTTATAATTGGGTAAGATCAAAGTGGGTGAAAAAAATGAATTTAAAGTAAACAAAAAAAGTAAAATATAAAAAAAAATAAATAAGAAAACATTAATATTGAAAATTATGATGCAAATTAATCAAGAAATTAATTCTGAAATCCGATTACATTTGGTAAACTTCTGGCCTCTGAACTGCAAATCTAAGCAAACTCTTATCAAAACCAATTTATAAATACTTTAAAGTATTTAACTATTATATTTGCAGTATTTACAATACTTCTTTAACATTTTTCAGAAACATAAAATTATTTATCTGCTTTATTACTAAATGGCATTTAGAATTGGCTTAAGTCACTTCTAATGATTTTCGTTTCCGGTTAAAGCACCTGCTTTGAATACACAAACTTTTGTACACTTTCTTGAGTGACCTTAATTTTTAGATGAGTATACAATGAAATGTGTGCAACTATGACTTTCCCATCGGTGGAGTGCATAGCCGCAACTTAATCCCCTACCTCTCCTTAGCCGTATCAGAAACCTTTAGCCCGATCCGGGTTTTTGGCTTGAATTCGTCCCTACGCCCCTGGCTGTCTGTTAGTGTGTTAGTGTGTTGGTGAGTGTGTGTCTGAGTGTGCGGTTTTAATCAAGTTTCGCCACTTAAGTTTGTGCTCAGGTGGAAAACACTCAAAAGCCGCCTGACCGAACCGAACTCCACTGAGCTGAAGCCCCCTTTTCCGCACGCCCCTGCCAAAGTTTGAAGAGCTTTGCGACGCGCTGTTGGTGAGTTTCGTTTTTGTTTTTTTAATTTCGGTTCTGGGTTTGTGTTTTGTGGGTTTTTTGGGAGCGGGGGGTTTTTCTGGAGTCCATTTGGCATAGAGAGGTTGGCTTGGCCGGGTGGGTCAACCTGTTACACATCTGTTTCGCTGCAGGTCCGTATGCCATTGTTCACCCCCCCACTAGTTTCACTTCTATTGGAACTTTAAAATCAATTAAATTGAGTGCCAGCATGATTGGACAAAATGATTGCGCATATGTCTTGTGGTCCCATTAGCTAAACTTATATAAGTTATTTATCATAAAGGGTAAAGGGGGAGAATTCGAAAAGATCCTTCTCCTATAAAATATTTTGATGGAAGTGTAATTTCGGTTGAAAGTTTGCAACGCAGTGAAGGGCATATTTATGCTTACATACAATATGTTAGTCTAACTTATTTTAATCAAGAAAGGAAGCCAACATCGGCAAGCCGATGTTTATATACTCTTGCAATTATTAGAAAACGACAACATTTTAATTTGTATGCCTAAATTACTAAAACCAATGAAGCTATGTCGATGTTGGCCTGCATTATCGGCTTCAATTTGGTAAAGTTGTGACTCCCGATGTCCAACTTTAAGTCACTCTTTAACAAGTCATCGGAAAATTAGAAATAACTAACATGAAAATGGGTCAAAAATTTGATCAACGTTGAATTGAACAAGAAAGGAAAGCTAACTTCGGGCGGAGCCGAAGTTGATATACCCTTGCAGAATATTCTGTAAATTATATTGGTTGGCCAAAAATAAAACCCATAAGTCGACCGATTCCGGCAGTTTCGACTTATATACTGTGTGCAAAGTTTCAATTTGACAGACGGACAGACGGACATGCTTATATCAACTCAGGACGCGATCCTGATCAAGAATATATATACTTTATAAGGGCGGAGATGTCTTCTTCACTGCGTTGCACACTTTTGACCAAAATTATAATACCCTCTGCAAGGGTATAAAAAACATTTTTGTTGCTTTCCACACTAACAATTACTGATATTAATATTTAAAGCACGAATAAGCGATAAGAACATATGAGCTATTTATATATATTTGGTGATTTGGGTTTTTCCAATTGTTGGACGACAGATTAGAGATTAGGAAGGCCACGTACTATTTTCTAATATTTTAGGCTTCGTTCTTTCTTCAACTAATAGCAACATTTCAGTACATTTTTAAAATTCGTTTCGAGTAGGTCGAACAACTTAAGATGTTGAGACTATTATCCTATTTGCTTGGCTTATTTATTTTTCCAAGTGTACATGGAGGAATTGGGTTAAATTCAAAGGATCAGTCGTTGTGCGTTGTCCAAGATGAGCCAAGACAGTGTGGGTCCTTTTGCCTGGCCGCACTCAACCCGCTTTTCGACCACTCTCGCAATATCCGAAAAAAGTTGGATGAAATCGAGGCAGGGCAGACAGCCTTTAAGGATATGCAGGCCGGCCTCGATTCGAAATTCAAGCTGGCGGAAGAACAACATATGGCAGTGAACTCCGAATTGAAGAACCAACTGCAGGAACTCATCACAAAAGAAGACTTCGCGAATTCAATAAAGGCTTTGCAGACCAAACTGGATGCGAGATTGGACAAAATGGAGGAACTTAGGACTGTAAGTACCGGATAGCAGACATACAGCCAGACATTCAGACTGACAGACAAATAGAAACCTTAGAAATCCCATCGAAATTACTTATCTCTGTTTATAGCTAAATTTAATGTAAAAAAAAACACAATTATAACAGTTTTTTAGAAAATTAGTATAATACTTCAACGAAAGTTCATTACACAAATTTTTTTTAGTTTGTTTTGAATCGACGCTGACAATGTAATCAATACTTTCTTTTGAAAGCTCAATTAAGATTTATTGCAGTAACCAACTTATTTAAATATTGAAAACGAATGCAATGATTATTAATTTATCGCCTGTTCTAAATCATTTCGTACAGATACAAATTACAGCCGATGCCAACGATGAACTCAAAAGCCTGGTAAATACCATGAACGACACCATAAAAGACTTGCAGAGTCAGTTAAAAATATCCAAAGGTCAAACCAAAAGCAAAGAAGATATTTTAAAGGTGAAAGAGGAGCACCTTACAAATAGAGATAAACAAATCTCGACCCTTACGACTCAAATTAAAGCGATTGAGAAAACAAAATCAGAACTATCTTGTCAGCTTTCGGAATACGAAATAAAACTCAGGGAGATGGAACCATTTAAGGTGTCATGTGCGTCGTCTCCACCTGGTTGGACTGTAATGCAGAGACGCATTGACGGATCCGAGAACTTCGATCGAACCTGGGATGAATATAAAAATGGTTTCGGGAATGTCAGTGGAGAATTCTTTATCGGGTTGGAAAAATTGCATCGGATGACTGAGGCACAACCCCACGAACTCTACATTAAACTTGGAAAGGTTGATGGATCCACCAGCTACGCTCAATTCAATGATTTTAAGATCGGGAGTGAGGAGGAATCCTACCAGTTAAAGAATCTAGGGAAATATTCTGGTGAGGCCGGAGACTCCCTCGAATACAATAAGAACCAAAAGTTCTCCACATTTGATCGGGATAATGACAATTATAGTGAAGGAAATTGTGCCTCTTCATTAGGTGCATGGTGGCATAATAGGTGTTCATCAAGGTATACCTGTTTATTTATGCTCTGCTTAAATCTTTTTACTATAATAACTTAAACTTACAGTAAGCTCAATGGAAAATACTTCAATGATGGCAAAGGTTGGACTGGAATTCATTGGCGCTCATGGCATGACAACGACTGGGAGATATCTCTTACCTTCGCTGAAATGATGATAAGGCCCAAGTCCTTATGAGTCGCACTGTTAAAATTTGAAATATTTGAATCTTAATACAAAACCTAATAGTGACTGGTATTAGTTGCTTTTCATTTGATGAAATGGGAGATTTTATAAATTGAAGTGATTGAGATTATTATTATTATTATTATCTGCGTATTTTAGGAACATAAATACGGATAAGTGGAGAGGGTTGGTAAGCTAGTTGTAGATTTTGCTCAATTTGGGTTTAAGGAATCTGTCAGTGCGTTTTTGGGTGCTCCCAATCCGCCAGAATTCGGAATCTTGAATCCGGACCCCCGGAAACATTCATTCAAGGGCACTCCCTAAAAATTTGAGTGCAGATTTTTAGAGAATCGAATCACGAGTCTTTAGAGGTATGCCACTTTGGAATCGGCTTAAATTTGGTAAAGTTATGGACTGTCGAAGTCCAACTCTAAGTCACTCTTTTACAAGACATCGGAAAATTAGAAATAACCAACATGAAAATGGGTCAAAATATTGATCAACGTTAAATTGAAAAATTTGAGTGCAGATTTTTAGAGAATCGAATCACGAGTCTTTAGAGGTATGCCACTTTGGAATCGGCTTAAATTTGGTAAAGTTATGGACCGTCGAAGTCCAACTTTAAGTCATTCTTTTACAAGACATCGGAAAATTAGAAATAACTAACATGAAAATGGGTCAAAAATTTGATCAACGTTAAATTGAAAAATTAGAATGCAGATTTTTAGAGAATCCAATCACAAGTCTTTAGAGGTATGCCACTTTGGAATCGGCATAAATTTGGTGAAGTTATGGACCGTCGAAGTCCAACTTTAAGTCATTCTTTTACAAGACATCGGAAAATTAGAAATAACTAACATGAAAATGGGTCAAAATATTGATCAACGTTAAATTGAAAAATTTTAATGCAGATTCTTAGAGAATCGAATCACAAGTCTTTAGAGGTATGCCACTTTGGAATCGGCTTAAATTTGGTGAAGTTATGGACCGTCGAAGTCCAACTTTAAGTCATTCTTTTACAAGACATCGGAAAATTAGAAATAACCAACATGAAAATGGGTCAAAAATTTGATCAACGTTAAATTGAAAAATTTGAATGCAGATTTTTAGAGAATCCAATCACAAGTCTTTAGAGGTGTGCCACTTTGGAATTGGCTTAAATTTGGTAAAGTTATGGACTGTCGAAGTCCAACTCTAAGTCACTCTTTTACAAGACATCGGAAAATTAGAAATAACCAACATGAAAATGGGTCAAAATATTGATCAACGTTAAATTGAAAAATTTGAATGCAGATTCTTAGAGAATCGAATCACAAGTCTTTAGAGGTATGCCACTTTGGAATCGGCTTAAATTTGGTGAAGTTATGGACCGTCGAAGTCCAACTTTAAGTCACTCTTTTACAAGACATCGGAAAATTAGAAATAACTAACATGAAAATGGGTCAACAATTTGACAAATGTTAAATTGAAAAATTTGAATGCAGATTTTTAGAGAATCGAATCACAAGTCTTTAGAGGTATGCCACTTTGGAATCGGCTTAAATTTGGTAAAGTTATGGACTGTCGAAGTCCAACTTTAAGTCACTCTTTTACAAGACATCGGAAAATTAGAAATAACCAACATGAAAATGGGTCAAAATATTGATCAACGTTAAATTGAAAAATTTGAATGCAGATTCTTAGAGAATCGAATCACAAGTCTTTAGAGGTATGCCACTTTGGAATCGGCTTAAATTTGGTGAAGTTATGGACCGTCGAAGTCCAACTTTAAGTCACTCTCTTACAAGACATCGGAAAATTAGAAATAACTAACATGAAAATGGGTCAAAAATTTGATCAACGTTAAATTGAAAAATTTGAATGCAGATTTTTAGAGAATCGAATCACAAGTCTTTAGAGGTATGCCACTTTGGAATCGGCTTAAATTTGGTGAAGTTATGGACCGTCGAAGTCCAACTTTAAGTCACTCTTTTACAAGACATCGGAAAATTAGAAATAACCAACATGAAAATGGGTCAAAAATTTGATCAACGTTAAATTGAAAAATTTGAATGCAGATTTTTAGAGAATCCAATCACAAGTCTTTAGAGGTATGCCACTTTGGAATCGGCTTAAATTTGGTGAAGTTATGGACCGTCGAAGTCCAACTTTAAGTCACTCTTTTACAAGACATCGGAAAATTAGAAATAACTAACATGAAAATGGGTCAACAATTTGACAAATGTTAAATTGAAAAATTTGAATGCAGATTTTTAGAGAATCCAATCACAAGTCTTTAGAGGTATGCCACTTTGGAATTGGCTTAAATTTGGTAAAGTTATGGACTGTCGAAGTCCAACTCTAAGTCACTCTTTTACAAGACATCGGAAAATTAGAAATAACTAACATGAAAATGGGTCAAAAATTTGATCAACGTCAAATTGAAAAATTTGAATGCAGATTTTTAGAGAATCCAATCACAAGTCTTTAGAGGTATGCCACTTTGGAATCGGCTTAAATTTGGTGAAGTTATGGACCGTCGAAGTCCAACTTTAAGTCACTCTTTTACAATACATCGGAAAATTAGAAATAACCAACATGAAAATGGGTCAAAATATTGATCAACGTTAAATTGAAAATTTGAATGCAGATTTTTAGAGAATCCAATCACAAGTCTTTAGAGGTATGCCACTTTGGAATCGGCATAAATTTGGTGAAGTTATGGACCGTCGAAGTCCAACTTTAAGTCATTCTTTTACAAGACATCGGAAAATTAGAAATAACTAACATGAAAATGGGTCAAAATATTGATCAACGTTAAATTGAAAAATTTTAATGCAGATTCTTAGAGAATCGAATCACAAGTCTTTAGAGGTGTGCCACTTTGGAATTGGCTTAAATTTGGTAAAGTTATGGACTGTCGAAGTCCAACTCTAAGTCACTCTTTTACAAGACATCGGAAAATTAGAAATAACCAACATGAAAATGGGTCAAAAATTTGATCAACGTTAAATTGAAAAATTTGAATGCAGATTTTTAGAGAATCCAATCACAAGTCTTTAGAGGTGTGCCACTTTGGAATTGGCTTAAATTTGGTAAAGTTATGGACTGTCGAAGTCCAACTCTAAGTCACTCTTTTACAAGACATCGGAAAATTAGAAATAACCAACATGAAAATGGGTCAAAATATTGATCAACGTTAAATTGAAAAATTTGAATGCAGATTTTTAGGGAATTGAATCACAAGTCTTTAGAGGTATGCCACTTTGGAATCGGCTTAAATTTGGTAAAGTTATGGACCGTCGAAGTCCAACTTTAAGTCACTCTTTTACAAGACATCGGAAAATTAGAAATAACTAACATGAAAATGGGTCAAAAATTTGATCAACGTTAAATTGAAAAATTTGAATGCAGATTTTTAGAGAATCGAATCACAAGTCTTTAGAGGTATGCCACTTTGGAATCGGCTTAAATTTGGTAAAGTTATGGACTGTCGAAGTCCAACTTTAAGTCACTCTTTTACAAGACATCGGAAAATTAGAAATAACCAACATGAAAATGGGTCAAAATATTGATCAACGTTAAATTGAAAAATTTTAATGCAGATTCTTAGAGAATCGAATCACAAGTCTTTAGAGGTATGCCACTTTGGAATCGGCTTAAATTTGGTGAAGTTATGGACCGTCGAAGTCCAACTTTAAGTCACTCTTTTACAAGACATCGGAAAATTAGAAATAACTAACATGAAAATGGGTCAAAAATTTGATCAACGTTAAATTGAAAAATTTGAATGCAGATTTTTAGAGAATCGAATCAGAAGTCTTTAGAGGTATGCCACTTTGGAATCGGCTTAAATTTGGTGAAGTTATGGACCGTCGAAGTCCAACTTTAAGTCACTCTTTTACAAGACATCGGAAAATTAGAAATAACTAACATGAAAATGGGTCAACAATTTGACAAATGTTAAATTGAAAAATTTGAATGCAGATTTTTAGGGAATTGAATCACAAGTCTTTAGAGGTATGCCACTTTGGAATCGGCTTAAATTTGGTAAAGTTATGGACTGTCGAAGTCCAACTCTAAGTCACTCTTTTACAAGACATCGGAAAATTAGAAATAACCAACATGAAAATGGGTCAAAAATTTGATCAACGTTAAATTGAAAAATTTGAATGCAGATTTTTAGAGAATCCAATCACAAGTCTTTAGAGGTATGCCACTTTGGAATCGGCTTAAATTTGGTGAAGTTATGGACCGTCGAAGTCCAACTTTAAGTCACTCTTTTACAATACATCGGAAAATTAGAAATAACCAACATGAAAATGGGTCAAAATATTGATCAACGTTAAATTGAAAAATTTGAATGCAGATTTTTAGAGAATCGAATCACGAGTCTTTAGAGGTATGCCACTTTGGAATCGGCTTAAATTTGGTAAAGTTATGGACCGTCGAAGTCCAACTTTAAGTCATTCTTTTACAAGACATCGGAAAATTAGAAATAACTAACATGAAAATGGGTCAAAAATTTGATCAACGTTAAATTGAAAAATTTGAATGCAGATTTTTAGGGAATTGAATCACAAGTCTTTAGAGGTATGCCACTTTGGAATCGGCTTAAATTTGGTAAAGTTATGGACCGTCGAAGTCCAACTTTAAGTCACTCTTTTACAAGACATCGGAAAATTAGAAATAACTAACATGAAAATGGGTCAAAATACTGATCAACGTTAAATTGAAAAATTTAAATGCAGATTTTTAGAGAATCCAATCACAAGTCTTTAGAGATATGCCACTTTGGAATCGGTTTAAATTTGGTAAAGTTGTGGACCGTCGAAGTCCAACTTTAAGTCACTCTTTTACAAGACATCGGAAAATTAGAAATAACTAACATGAAAATGGGTCAAAAATTTGATCAACGTTAAATTGAAAAATTTTAATGCAGATTCTTAGAGAATCGAATCACAAGTCTTTAGAGGTATGCTAGTTTGAAATCGGATTAAATTTGGTAAAGTTATGGGCTCTCGAAGTCAAAC